AAAGTTTGGCTGAATGAGAGAGAGTGGTTGGTGTGATACGATGTTGGAGGATTTGTGAGCGTTTAGAGGCGATAAATTCGGGGGGAAGGTTTGGTCTGAAGAGGCGTTAGAGAAGTGACTGGCGAATTCTTGAGCTATATCCGGGGGATATAGAAGATTGCCATGAGAGGTATTGAGGGAGTGGATTTGGGGATTAGAGGGTAAACCGGTGAGTGTTTTTATGTCAGCCCAGATTTTTTTAAGGTCGGATGACGCGCTGATGCTGCTAGTAAATTTTTGAAAACAGTCGAGCTTAACATCTTTGATTTTCCGGCGAAATTGCGCGTTCAGCTTTTTGAATTGAATGAGAGTTGTGGTGGACCGGTTGCGTTTGAAGTTGTGCCACGCTTGTTGTTTGGCTTGCCTAAGGGACGCAATTTCGTGGTTCCACCATAGGGGGGCTGGCTTTACTGGTTTGGTTGAGGACAGAGGGATGGAGACGTTGGATGCACAGCGGATTGCTTTATGGATATTGGACGTTTCTTGGTTGATGTTGGGAAAGATTTGGAATAGAAGTCGCATGCGCTTTCGAATTTGTTCCAATACGCTCTATCTGTTTTGAATTTGATCCTGGAAGAGAAGGGAATGGTGGGTCGGGATGTGAGAATTTTGATGAGGATCAGGAAATGATCGCTGCAGTGAAGGTCATCTATAAGGTGCCATGATGAGTTGTTGGAAAGGGAGGGAGAGGAAAGCGTAAGGTCAATTTGAGTAAAGGTTGAGTGGGTTGAGAAGTGGGTGGGGGAGCCGTCGTTTAGTACGATGCAGTTGGAGGAGAGGATGGCATTTTTTATAGAATGTCCTCTCTGATTATAGGAGGCAGATCCCCAGAGCGGACTCCAAGCGTTAAAATCGCCTGCAAGGATGAAGGGTTGAGGAGGGGAGGGGAAAAGATTGTAAAAGTCAGCTGTAGTTATTGATTGACTTGGCGGGGAGTAAGCGCAAGTTATTGTGATGGGGGTTTGAAGTTCTATGGATAGTGAGGATATATTGGATTGGGTAGGAAGGGGGTGGTGGGGGAGGTTTCTCTTAACCAGAATGGCGATTCCTTGCTTCTTTGAGATTATGTGAGGTGGTTGTGGAAGTGCCCTACGTAGGATTTGGAGGTGGGGGCAGAGGAATTGTGGGCAAGGTGAGTTTCGTTTAGAAGTATAATGGAGGGTTTATACATCTTTATTAGGATTTCAAGTTCAATGTAGTTATTGTGATACCCGTTTATGTTCCACTGTAATAATGGTAACATTTGTTATATAATATGTGTGTTTATATATGAATTAAAGGGTTAGTATAAGAATATTTATGACTTATCTACATATGTTTTTTGAATTGTTTGACGGTAATGTTGTTTTATATGTATTTGGTGTTATGAGGACGTTAAGATCGGGGAATTTTGCGTGTAATTGGCTGAAAGGTGACATCTCGGTATCGCTGGTAATTSGGCTGGGGTATGTAGGGGTGGGTGGGCTGTAATTTTTTTCTGCATTTCTACTTGTAGTCGCTATTTCTGGTGTGCTGACGTTAGTTGCTGTTTCTTGTCTTACTGGGGATGTTGTTGTGCTGTTTTTCTGCTGAGGTTTGGATGTGGTTGAAGTTGTTTGTGTGATTGATTTAGTATGACATGTTTTCTTGGATGCTCCGTTATTTGCTTGTGGGTTATTGTTTGTAGTTTTTACATGGGGTTTGTTTGCTGGAGTTGTTTGCAAGTCGTGTGCTGTGTTTACATTTGTTGGTTCGGTAATTATACTGCTGATGTTTTTTACAATTTGTGCGAAGGACGGCGCCCTTGTTCTTTTTTGAGGGGGTTGAATTTGATGTGTGTTGGGGTCGCTGTTGAAGATTTTCCATGCATCTCTAATTGTGCATCGGCGCTCTATTTTTATTTTATTTACTGACTTGTATTTAAGGAAAGTGGGACAGCCAGGGTCTTTGGATGGATGGGTTTCAATTTGGCAGTTTATGCAGAATGTTCTTGGGCATGGATTATGTGGCGGAGCGGTTGCACACTGGCTACATAGCTCAATATTTCGACATCTGTTTTTGGTGTGACCGAGTCTTTGACAGGTTTTGCACTGCATCGGATTTGGGATAAATTCTTGCACACGAACCCTTTCCCATCCTAATTTAAGGATTTCTGGTCTACGGATTAGGTCGAATGTCACAATTGCAGCACCGGTAGGGATTAGTGCGTCACCATCTTTTCGCATGATTTTTTTGACTTCGATCACTTTTTGGTTTCCTAGCCCTTCTACTAATTCTTCTTCGGAGAGATTGATTAGGTTTCTGGAAAATATTCTGCCTTGCGTGGTGTTCAGACCTTTGTGAGAGGTAATTTTTACAGGTATAATGCCCATGTGAGTTGCTTTGATATACTTTTCGGCCGATTTCGCATTTTCGTCTTTTAGGAGGAGGTCACCGGATCTTAATTCCGTTACAACGGTGGTATCCCCGCAAATGTGTTTTAAACCCCTTTCGATTTGAAAGACATTATATGATGATAATGGACGGATTTTGTCATCTGCAATTGGACCGATGGCACCTGCCACTGAGAACCGAGGGATATGGTCGTCATTTTGTTTTGGCGCAGGAAGTGGTACAAAGTCACTGAATTTTGGTCGTTTGTTGGGACGTTGCAAATCGGGATCGAGTAACCGAAACCTATTGCTTTCGGGGGGTTCGGCCCCGTTCATGGTGTCAAATGATAACTACGGCACTGAGTTTTTTTTTTGCACTGAGTTTTTTTTTTATGTATACACTAATAAACTAACAACTACAACTATAAGGAGCTGCGGTAACTGAATCGGCTAGACTATCGTATTCGGTCACAAAGAGAAAAAGAACGCGTGAAAAGGTCACGGGACGTGTTTACGCAGTGGTTGCCCACTTTGAACTGACCTGAATATTTATCCAGTCAAGGACTGTCAACTCGGCACCATTTCTCAAAATTATTTCAAGAATGTTTTCTGACGCTATTATAGTAATAATAGTGCATTATCAGTAGTCAACGACGTCTCTTCGTTCTCTCTTCAGAAACAATAGTCATCACAAAACCAAGAGGGTTTAGTTCTGTAGGCATTAACCCTCATCTGCAAGTGGAGTGCTTCAACTGGTTGACTCATACAAATATTCGGCACGTACAAAGTATATTCTTACACTTACTTATTCCATTCCTTTACAAGTGTTATTTATTTATTATTGTATAAAAGCAAAGCTTTAACATTACTTTATTGTCTCCAACTCTTTCAAGGGTATCTTCACCAATGATTAAAAATATTTATAAACTTTTGTAAATCACATACAAAGAGCACCATTAAACCAACCATATATAAAAAATATAATTTTAAAATTGGAATTAGAAACATTATTGAGCTAAGTTATTTACATATGTTCTTATAAATAATTATTTGTCTTTATTTCCGCCAGCCTGCTTATCCTGAAGACGACGTCGACGTGCAATGTAGACCACCCAAAGGAAGGACACAATACTCATTGCAATTGTGCGCAACTACGTATTTTAAAATATCAAATTATTATTTTTCTTAACTGGAAAATTCTATTCAAACATACCATTGGTGGCACGAATGCCATATTAAGGAACACGGGTATCGATAGGTATTGCCAATTGGCGCGTAGTAGAGGCCAATATAGTTTCTTTAGATTAGCTACAGCTACTTCATGGGTATTCATCTATGAAATATGGAATGATAGTGCAAACATTAACATGAAATTTTGGTTAAAATTAGTTGCAAATACTTCAATTACCTCAAATATGGAGAGGAAATAGAGGGAGACTAGTTGATAAAATGGTGCAAATATTAGACGTTCCGATAGAAACTGGAAAAAACGACGGAATTTCATATCATGTTTGAATAGTCGCTCAACCGTTTGATAGAAATAATGTGGCACAGTACCACCAAATATTAAGCTATAAACAACAAATAAAAATATTAAATAATAAATATAAAAACAAATAATGTTTACACAAATTTGTTAATTCGTTTTTGTGGGTAAAAAAAAAAAACGCTATAAAGTACAAAATAGCAAATTCTAAGTATTATCAAGATTACTCTAAGAAATGACATTAAGCGATAAGATTTGAACGATAAGAAAAACAATTGACTTTTGTTTTCTTTTATTTGCTACAAAGGCGACTTACCCAAAGAGGCCGTATGCTATGACACTTTCCTGGTTGACTTTCTTTTGGCCAGCTATACGTTGTGATGTGTAATTTGCCGATGCCGCTAGTATAGAGCTAAATATGATCACCATTATATAAATGATTTATAAAAAAGTTACAGTTTAGGTACGTGCCATGTACGTATATTTACCTGGTTATGGATTTAGTGCGCACTGGATGATTGAATAGTTGCTCCAAATAGACTCCTAGCAATGAATAAATAGGCTTGGAGAGCGACATGATGTTTGCAAAATATTTTTTCAATTATGTTGAAATATTTTTTTAAATTATGTCCCTATAAAACACAAAAATAATTCCATTAGTTGCAAATTTTTAAGGAAATAACCGATTAAGATGCAAAGCCTTTAAAAGATTTTAACAATCGTTCAAAGAGCAAAGGCCGGTTTAGATCGAATTGCTAAAAAATAAGACATTTTACTTTCTTTTCTTAACTTACCAATTTTATTCTTGTTTCTATAAATAAAACTGCACTTATTTGCATATAAAATTGAAATGAAAAAACCGAACTATGATTTGACGGCTATTAACTGGTTTATGTAGTTGTTGTCCATGCAGTCTTATCGGAATTCAAGTATAAAGTCAAGCTAACTTGTATTGAGTCCAATAAGAAGATGCAGAGTTGCATTTTGGCACAAACGTATTATAAAAATCCATTTTTGGAATACTATTTAAGGGAATATATTTCTTTTTCCAAAAACAACCCTGGGTATATAAAAAAATAGGTGTAGAAATTGACACTGACATATTGGCTTGTAGTTATTTATATGACTATTGTTTTTTATCAACAGATTCCACTAACAGAATTAAGTGTTCCTCGCATAATTTGTACAACTACAGTCAAATAATAAGAATAAAATCTATTAAAATACGCAAACTTTATGTAAAAAGTTTTTTTAAATGCAAAACTATGCAGAGTTTAGGCAGTGAGTTGTAGGATAATCAAGTCATCAACGCCTTTGGATTTTATTGGCAGATTTCGTGAACTTGGATGAGAAGGCCAAGAAAATTGTCAGGTGTTCGCTATTAGCACTTTCTCTGGTGGTGGTGATTAGCGCAAGTTTAATCTAAAACTATTGGTAAGTAAATGACGCATGTGTATGTATAATTTTAATATTTTTTGCGTATCACCATTTGCTTTCAGATCTAGTACACTCCGACACTTCAATTTCAAAATGTATTGCCTGCAATGTTTGCTGCCAGTGCTACTTATACCGAAGCCAACAAACCCTGCGCTCATGGAAACGCATGTCATGTTCATCGTACTCTACCTAATTGGTTTTTTTCTAGAACGAAAACCATGCACCATCTGTAGTTTAATATTTCTGACAGCCGTATTCCTTATTTGCTACAGTGGTGTGGGAAATTGTATATTCTGGGGCAACTGCGAGGGACATCAATGTGAGAATGGATAGAAAAATACGAAGTTGCCATTCTAAGCTAAATGGATACTCAATGCATAATAAATTTAGCATTATTAAATGCTATCGTGCTATAAACAACTTTGGGTGTCTCCTTAGTTAAGAAATATACCAAAATATATTTCTTTTAATTAGATAACTTGTATTGTTTTGTTGTTTTAAATGTTGCTGTGTTATAGCGCTCTTAAAATAATTTCAATAATAATATCATAATTTTTAACGAAAAAGTCTATAAGCTATATCAGTTGTAATGAACGGAATTATGTTGAGATAACGCTTTATATAAATTTTCAAATTTTTTCTAATAAAAAACTATCACAACGTAGAAATACGTATGTTTACGCATTAATATTTACGAAACAACTTCTAATAGATTTTCTTTAAATACTAATTGTATGTGTATTTTTTACAAGTAAACATAAGTTTAACTGATAAGACGTTAGCTTATCTCAATTGCTTGGCTATGGGGGTGTATGAAAGACAATGGAGAATCATAAAATTTGGCATACTCGAGCAACAGTTAAAATCAACGAATCACATTTGTAGTTATTAAAGCAAAATCTTAAAGTAAATCATATTATTTTTGGTAAAAATAGGTAGCTAGATTTGCAAATTTGTAAACTTATTTATATATTTTCTTGTGTTTTACAAAATGAATAGTAAAAAGTTATTAGCTAATTATTATTATTAATTATTTTAAGTCAATGTTGTATGCCCTTCGGGGCACCTATATATAGCTAGAAATTTAATTTAATATAAGTGACAATGTAAGTCATTTCTGCAACTCGCTTTATTTATAAAACATGCGAAAACAAAGTCTTTAAGAAGGATAAATATTTTCTTTTTATTATCTAATGTTCTGATTTTTATTTGTCGTAGTGCTAATTATGTATTTTACAACAAAAAGATTAATTCGTGGTACCCTTATCAGGATCGGAATTATAAAATATAGTAACGCACATTTTCTATATTGATATTTATTTATTTACGTAACTAGAAATAATTTAATTTAACAACTATTTTACATGAATACATATAACGAGTAAAATACATTTAAAATATATTCTGAATTTATGATTTGGCTGCTACAAATTATTATAAAATTAGCATTTCAAAAGTAAGTCATTACCAAAATCAAATTTTGGAAGTTCGATGGAGCACGAAGTGAAATCGTTGATGCAATCCTCCAAATACAAATAGGGTTTCCCGTATTTCGCAAGCGAATCCTCATCCTCTTCAGGCTCACAAAAATCTTCAATGTCCCTATTCGACCCTTCATCGAAATCTCTAATGGGTCCACCGTTTCTGATTTTCTCCATCGCCTTTAACAAGGCAACTTCATCAATACTATTATATTCTGACCATATTTCGGCAGTACTTTTGCCGCAACTTTTAGTACAACATGCTTTAGGGAAATCAAAAAAATCGAATAGTTCAATAGGATCTACGGACAATTTCTTAACGTCATTCGGTATACACAATCGTGTTTTTGCTGTACTGCTTTTAAATGTATCAAATTGATTTTCTTTTAAGCCACCTTTTAGCGGAGTTACACCCAACTGATTATGAATTACATTTTTTAGTTCTCCAAAAACTTGCTTCTTTTTTACGGAATGTACTCTTGGATGTGTTTGCTGTAGTTTTGCTGAGGAAAATTTGTTCTCATCCACAAAGGTGCGCTTATCATGCCAAATATTTGCCATTTTTATGATCGAATTATGATTTGTTTTCTTTAATATATAAAATTGCTTTCACAAAAATAATTACCGAAACAGGCGCCAATTCAATCAATTTGCTTTTTGAATGCAGTTATATCGATGAAATTGTTTTTGCTTTGCTTATGTCAAAAGCAGAGACGCTTTTGAGCGCCACCAGACTTTATTCGATTCGATAGTTGCCATTTGTTTATACTAATTAATATTGAGGAAAGTTTGTTTTTGTCTAGATATTAAAATATCTAGCTCGTGAACAGAACTATGTTAAATTCTTGTATCCACACTCACCACGAAAAACGTCAAAATTTCACTTTTGTCTGTCAGAAGTTTAATTTTTCTACCGTTTTTCACACAGCCATAAATACAAATTGTATCGAATAACTTCATCATTGAAAATAAATTTATTAATTCACTACCACTTTGTCAACAATTTATTTATTTCCATAATTTTACTATTTCCAGTATTCGCAATAACTTAAATTTAGCTGAACAGCGACTGTCTGTGACTTTGTTCTTATATGTCACATCATATTTATCGTAGCTAATATTTAATATTGAAATAAGTTTTTTAATGCGAATAAAGTTTTGGCTATATGCTAATTACCACATTTTCATCCTGATTTTTATAAATATGTATATAAAAATTAGCAAAAATTAATATCTCCTATTTTCTATAACGGTTGGTATCGATTCTCAAACCGATAGAAAAATTATTATATAATCGATACTTCCCTATTGAGTTTGCCGTTAAATGCAAAGAATTTAAAGGATTTTACAATAACTTTTTATTAATTTTAAAATACAAATACATACAATACAATACGAGTTGTTCGCTAGCTCGAAACACAAACACATACAATAAAATACGAGCTGCTCCCTAACTCGAAACACAAATACATACAATAAAATACAAGTTGCTCCCTAACTCGAAATAGCATAATCCATATGGAAGGAAATTTGACTTCCATTGCCAATTTAAGAGTTTGAGTTATGTATTCCTACAAATTAATGTTCCAAAGATGATGTCTGACGTTAGGCGAAGCAAAAGTTCTCTGTGAATCGGCCATTAATTTCAGAGGCATTCGGAAAATTCCAACCTTCTTCGTACTTGTGTATAACTAGCCAGTTGCAGGCTTCCTATATTTTAGGGATCTCCAGAAATACTTGCGATATAAAAATAACGACAAAAAGCATTTCGCAACAAATATTTATATATCTTTCAATATTATATTTTTTCTTACATCATATACATTAGATGGACTTATTGCTAAATTATAATAAGTTTACATTTTTTCAAACTTAATTTTGTATACATATTTATTTAAGTTATTGCAATTATAATAAAGAGTTGTATAAGCGCTTGAAATATCAGTGGAACAAACGAAATTTCTTTCTTAAAATAACAAAGCGTTTTATTTTTAAAATATGTACTTGACTAGTAGCGTTTTAATTTCTATTAACTTATGTATGTGTATGCGCTAAATCTTAAAAATAACAGGACTAGAAGATTGCATCGGACTAGAAATAATACTCGTGCTTAGAGCCTTGCACTTTTTCACGGTTTCAACTTTAAAACACATCATTGTGTTTGCAGTTATGCACGTCGGGAGAATCGCGCTCTTATGTAATGTTTTGCAAAACTTTAAAAAGTTTCTTCTTTAAACCTCAAAATGCCGTCGACGGACTACGGCTATGCGGCGTTGGTGAACGCGATGGTGAATGTGGCGAACTGTCACGACTGTAGCAGCTTGAACAGTAGCTGGAGGCATCCGATGGTGTTTTTCGATGATACGGAATCGGACGCTTGCGGGCGCTAAATGAATTGAGAGAAAGACATGACGTTAATATAACAATAATAGTGTTGTACAGTTGTTGGAATGAAATCAAAATCAATCAACGAATGAAATTAAACTTACCAAAATCAAATGTTATAATTTAGGGACTTAAAGTTCAATTATCTAAAGAAAATAAATATGGATTAAATTAAAAAGAAGAATATTATACAAATTAAATTACAAGCGTATTAGAAAAAACTTACCAAAAAATGCTATAAATTATATACATATGTAATAAAAAACGAACTTACATTTGCTTGCTGAGAAATTTCTGTATACCAAATGAAAAAGTTTCACTTTAATGAACACACCGCATTTACAAAATAAAATTTAAAGTTACATATCTTTATTTATGAATAGCATAGATGAAAGCATAGTGAGAGAGGAAGAAAACTACATGATTTTAAAAATTCCATTAAGTAATATTGCGTGAAAGTACAAAACATTATAATGACGTGTACAAGATCAAATAATAAAAGTTCAAAACTACTATATACTATAATTAGATGGAGGTGAGTAAACAGTTAACACATTGATGGAATAGCTTAAATGTTCATAGGATATAGGACACAACTTGATTCGGAATTTGCTAGGATGGACATTAATTTCGGAAAATGCACTGTACTTTTGCTTCCATTATTCAAATCAACAGCAAACTCAGGCAATCAATATCTAAATAGAAATTGAAACCAAATTAACTGAACAAATTGAAATAATGCATAAACAAGTGAAATAATAATGCAGTGGTTTAAATATATATGTTTATTTATATATATGTAAATGCAGCCAAGCCTAACGCCTGCGGCGCTCGCGAGATGGTTCGCGTCCTCTGCTACAAATGAAAATAAAAGGAAATTAAATACAAAATATGTAATAAAAACAATTACAGTAATAATAATAATAATAATTAAAAATAATATATAATATAATAATAACACGGTGAGTTAATAAATAAATATGCAAGACAAAAGGAAGCTATATAATAAAAGTAAAATAATAAGCGAGTTTTTGAGGTTATGCACCTTGTTATGCGGCGACGATCGAGAAAACTGGGAGATCCACGCCTTCGGGGAATTGATGGTGAACGTGAACCCGTACGGGAGGAACCGGAACTGCCAGAGCTAAAAAAAAAAGATTTTTATAGCATCATGTTAGTATAAACTCCATACAATTTTTTTCTTTAAACAGATATAATTTTTAACTGATGATATTTAACCTGGACTGGGACCAGTTTAAAGCGCCCGCAAACCGTATGGTTAAAAAATTGCCTCCTACGTTGATTGGGCTTTTAAATTTCGTGTGAAGTTTGATCTCCAATGAGTGTGTGTTTGACAGCTGTTTGTTTACGACGCAAAAAGTTCGTCAGGTGATTTTTATTATAAAAAATTAACAACGAGTTTGAAATTTTGTGCTTCCAGCGGAATTACGGCTACCGAATCGGTAAAAATGTTGCAGAAGTGTTCTGTGAGAGACTACTTTATTACAAACACTAATATTTGAATCCAAAAATGCATTGCGCGAAGTCATCGCATCGCACACGTCATGCGAGTGTTCCATCTAACATAATGGTGCTTCAAAAAGAGCCGAAACAAAAAGCCACTGAAGGCCATCCCAACCGAGGCTTATAACAAGTGTAAGAAGAATTGGATTAAGCAACTGCAAGCTTGTATTGGCTCAACAGCGTATTTGGCTGGGGTTGAAGAGATTTGTATTAAGTTATGTGTATATTTAGCTTATTTTACCAGTCCGGATCATATTTGATCATATATATATATATAGGGGTTTCTTTCAATGTTTCACCTACCTTGATGAGCTACGTGAACTACTACGCGTCGAACAGCTCGAATGCGAAGAGTGTGAATGTGAGCGAGAACGTGAACTGCGATGGCTACGACTACGTGTACGGCTATGGCTGCGACTGCTCGACGACGAATAATGCCTATAAAACACAAATACAAATGCCATTCATATTCGCATATGTAAATCGACATACGTAGAGTTCGAATTGTGTACTTACGATGAACGTGATCGGCTATTGGAATGCCGACGGCTGGTTCCTCCGCCGCTCCGTTCGCCACCGCCGCCTCCTTCACGTCGTGGTCGGCTACGGCTACGGCTGCGACTGCGTCTTGAACGACTGCGACTGCGGCGTGCGGCACTCTCAGCTGCGGCCACTGTGGCTGTGGACACTTTCGAGACAATTGTATCGACGAGTGTACTGTCGGCTAGAGCCGCTACCAGAGGCTGTGGATCGTTAATTTTAAAAGGCTTTATTATAATTTTCGGTTTATTCGAATGTTGGTGGTGATGATGGTGGTGATGATAACTTAAACTAGAAGCAGCAGCAGCGGCTACTGCCGCCGTATTATAGCCGTGATGATGGTTTGCGCTACCGCCCATATCATGATGGTGACCACGCGCGTGATGACCACCGCCGCCGCCAACACCGCTGCCACCACCACCGCCACCACTGCCCGACACGGCGGCCAACGAGGCAGCGATCAACAGTTGATCGCTTAGTACCGTTGTGGCATTGGCGCTGTGCGGATGTTGGTGCGAATGATGGTGGTGTGCGTGATGATGACTGTTATTTGGTGTTAGTAGTAAGCTGTTATTAGTATAATTAATTGAAGTGAGTTGAGCATTAACGTTAGCATTTAAACCCATCGCACAGCGATGATGATGCTCACGCCGACTAATTAGCATTGTGTTATTGTTTAAGCTGTTGAGACCGCTGTTATAATGTTTACTTAGCAACGGATTGAAGGTATGCGGCGCATGCGCGATTAATGGCGGATTGTTGTGGTGGTGATGATGATTAACACGGCCAGACATTTGACGCGCATATACACCACCGCCAGCACCGGCGGCATTGGCAGGTGTGTTGGGCCCGCCGCCGCCGCCACTGTAATGCGTGTAATTATTGGGGGGACCGCCAGTGATGGGAGGMGCATTAATGAGCGCGACACCACCGCAGGGTGTATTGATTTTTACCCTGTGATGCGATTTCCGCGGATGTAAGATTAATGGTGGCGGCGTTGTACGACGTGCTCCACGACGTAACGGTATTTGCTGACGACCCATAGTTGTCGGTATACTTCGCACATTTACTATATGCGTGGTGTTTTCATTTCGATTCACTAATATTGGACTCTTTGCCGCCTGACCATTTGCTGCAGTGACGGCCTTGCAATCAGTCTGCGGCACATTGCCCTTATGTTCTTCTTGTGTTTGCACTTTTACGGTATCCTTTTCCTTATCACTTTCTA